AAGATGACTTTGTAGGAAAACTGCTGCATCTAGACCGCTTTCCATTTCTAAACGTCTCCCTTGGATCAGAGATCTATTCTAGGTTACTGGTAGGTTCTGTTAGTTTTATGGAAAAAATTAAATTACTTTTCAATAAACATTCATGAAGCTTATCACAAATGAGTTGGTCTCTTTAAGAACTTTTTTCAGCTTTGTTTTGGACATTTTATCTTGGGATATAAAATCTGAAGTGTGTTTTTTTTTATTGTTTTTGAAAAATGTAAACCATCACTGTGGTCTGGGCAGTTTCTTTCCTTTGTTTACATATTATTTATTAGAGGAAAAAATATATTAATATTTTTCACTACACAATTTCTTTGAAGTCCCCCTGTAGTCAATAAAATGTTTTTTCCTTGGGAAAAAAAATCTTTTTTCAATTTTAGTTAGGCTGTAATGTTGCTGTTTGAGCATTAAAAAGATCTGCAAGGGTACAAAGCTCAAGTCCACTCCAAAGGGGGATATTTTATTTAACGGAATCCACTTTTCAAGAACTACAACGAACAGCTTGTTTGAACTACAACACACTTTTTCCGGATCTTATGAAGTCATAATGTTCCTCATTTGAATAATCCCCGCCCACGGAATACGCGAAAAAGTTGGCGAGGCCTGGCTGAACTGCGCTAGAGAAGATGAAGAGTGTTGTCGCTGTTTTTTTCCATCCTGGAAAAAGTTTGTCCTATACGGCTGACAAACTTAGAGAGGTTGAAATTTATTTTTAACACTGTTCCTGAAGATCATAACCTCATCATTTGTCTGTGTGTCTCTTTTGTGATCGATTACTGTTGTATTACCATAGTTTTTTGACAAATATGATTAAATGGTGAATAACATCGTATATCTACAGTATAATAAAATTACAACAACAAAAAACCATACCACTCTGAAACATAAAAAAACATTTTACAACAAATAATTGTAATATTTATGCAATTATAATAAATTTGAAATCATTTATAATAATTTAACCAATTTTACCTGATGGATTCTAATTTTGACAAAACATCAATTACATATGACATGACCAGTGGCAGAACGGGAGTGTGTGAAGAATTACTTTTATCAAATGCATCAAACAAACTCATAGGCTCAGTATGAGGTCTACGGAGTCTCTGTCGTCTCACTGTCAGTATATCTGGCTGTTGGCCCTGACTCTGCGGAGCCACGGTGTGAAGGGGGCCTACCACAACTGTGAGTGTGTGATTTGTGCAGCTCTTATCCTTTTACAAACCCCAGGCTTCCTCTTTCTCCACTTGGCCTTGTGGTTTTGACTGGGGATAAGCAAGTACAGCTGTCTCCCCTGCTCTTGTGTCAGGGTCAGAGACCCTCTGTGCCAGCTGTACCCCTCACCCCAATCCTCTCCACACCTAGGGCCATATGGACAAGCTGGCACGGCTTGTGACAACAGCTTGTGGGCATATCATGTCTCTTGGCATCCAAGAGATATCTGAATAATGATATCTGTTCCTCTCTGTCTATCTGCATGTTCTTCAGGGGATAAACCCAATCCCAGCAGTGCAGGCCAAGCTGTTGATCAGACAAATTAGTGCTGGATCAGAGGATGGGGGTCATTGTGCAGTCAGAGCGTTGAGGAGACAAGAGGTTGTAAAGTGATACTCTTGTTGTTTGTTGTGAAGCATGTTGAGTGATCAGTCATCTGATATAGCTGTTTCTGCATACGTCATTATATGGTGGCCTACTGTGATTTGCCAGACTGCCACTCTGTCTTTTTTCTTCTGTTAGACAAATGCAGAGTAGACAGACTTGTGACTACTGGCTAGGGAGGTAATATTATATAACAATTCTGGCAAATACGATGATGATTATTTTACTTTTATAGATGATAACTGATAAATGTCTGATATTAAAATTATTTACCATTGCTATAAATGCTATATTAGGCATCAAAACTTGTGTTGTTATTGTTAACTGAAACTTTAAAAAATATTTTTCATTAATTGTAATGAAGCTGAAATGAAATATAGCCTATTGATTTCAATTTCATTTCATTTTTATTAGGATCCCCATTAGCGGCCCATTTAATGGCAGCTAATCTTCCTGGGGTCCTCTTTAAAATATTCACAACATAAAATTATACAAAGCAATAACAACACAAATTACAATCAAAAAGAATTCAAACATTGCAATTACATACAAAATATTACCAAGTAAAATAACATGACAATTTCCAGCTATATACTGTATATAGCCTATATATACAGTATGTATATATATATATATATATATAGCCTATATATTATTAAAAACTTCCGTTTGGTTCAGTTTGCCTCTTATTTTGGCCAAGAACTGGCAATTTAGACCAGAATAGCCATCTGACTAAACCACAATTTTTGTTTTTATGTGCCATTTAGCTGGAAAAAAGTGTTACTAAAAGTGTTACTTTCCAACACTGTACAGAAGAAATGGAAATGGGTGTACGCAGAATACATCTCTGTCAAAAAAATAAAAAAACAAAAGTTGATTGTTTCAAAGACCAATCGTGGAAGCAAAAAACACAGTTCTGTTCTTTTGACATCTAGTTTACATGCTACTGAGTGACAAAACATTAAAAATCTTTCAAAGATTTCAGTAACCTGGCAAACCTTGTGGTAAAAATCCAAACTTTTCCTATAGTAATGAACTTTCTCCGCACAGCTCCCAGCAAACCCAGTTATCTAATGCAGAGTGGTTTATGGTTCTCTAAGACTGTTTGACTTTATATGAAGTAATAGCTCACTCTGTTTACTATTGTGGTTTAAGTAGGAAGAAATCTAAATTAACCACTGGGACCCTGATGTGAGTAATTGGAGCCAAATCATGATCTAATAATGATCTGATTCCAAAATCTTGTTTGTTTCATACAGACTTTGGTTTTAGTTTCCTTCTGCAACAAAGATGCAAATGAAAAACATTTGAGCAGATGGATGTAGTTCATTAAAGCTGGTTTACTATGTTCCAATGAGGAAAACTAGCAGCTCAAGAGTAATCATGTTTTCTGAACTACAAATTAAAACCCCAAAAGCATGGGATTACCTCCGATAGCGAGCTTGAAATTTCCTTATTGACATTTTTGTCACTGGCTAGAATTCAGCTACTTTATAGCCTTTTAAAAGTTGCTCCTCTATTTGCTGTATGAGGTGTTTTGCTCATAACAAAACATCTGATCCTCTCTTGTATTACATTCTCTCACAACCACGTAAGCTGGGAATTATGACCATTGCAAAAGTGAATCCTTGATACAAATGGTTTGCATTAGTCTTACAGAGGAATAAATCATGCCTTCTTTCTCAGCACTGGGGAACAAAGATGGCGCAGATCCATTGTTTATCTGCTGTAAGACCTCCTAGCAAGGGAACAAATGTTACTTGCTCTCCCCTCCAACTTCTTTCTCTCCTTCTGACATCTGCATGCAGGGCTTTCCAGAAACTGAATATGGAACGAAGTCAGAGAAAGTCAGTAGATGCTGTTCATCTGACAGAAACATTGGAGATGAGTGCATGTTGAGGTTGAATAGTGACCATTGTATGGTGAGTACATTATGTCAGCAAGATCTCCTGCTGGCTTATGTTGGAGGAGAGGAACAGATCTCGCAGGGTTCGTACGAAAAGCATTGTGGGAAAACTTTGGCATCTTTTAACTTGAAAATAGAGTAGGTTTCTTTATATTTTGGGGGAAATGCTCAACCAATTAAGCAAATGTCTGCGCTGTTCTGACCACAGGTTTGAGTGGATTACACAGAGTTTGCTACTTTCACAAGCATTTCAGCAAAAGCAGAAAGCCGGCCTCCTGGAAAAGTGCAGAGATGCAAAGTGTGAAGGATTTGTCCTCGGAGAACTCTTAGAATTGTTGTAAACCCAGCCAAACATCAGAAGGGTTTATTTTTGCTCCGTGTTAATACAAGCTGATGTTGAAACTCAAGCCCTCCCTCTGGCGTGTGAAAGAAGGGAAGTGGCTTATTGTCAAGGGCCACGGCCTGCAATCTATGACGCCCTACATCAGGAGTTGCCATGAGTTCTGCCTGTTCAGTTTCATGGTACATGTTTGGAGTGACCGCAATTATCTGGCACGTCTGATTCAATAATGTAAACAATATTATTAGACTTACTCATTAACTCTTATTTGCAGCAGAGACTAGACATGAAGCACAGCAGTATTTCAGACGTATGGTGAATGAAAAGCGGACGGATGGACTTATTGATTAAGGATTGTAATCTAATCCTCCCTGTACTGGTGATGTTTTCTGTGAAAGTTAAGTTGCAGTTTTTCAGCTAAACTCTCTGTGAGAAATGATGTGAGATCTGCTTTTTATTTAGGGACACTGATCGTTCTTTGCGATTGAAAGCATGTGTTTTTTTTTCTCTCTCTTTTCTTTTTGGTTTGGATTGAGTCTAAACTGAAAAAGAAACAGTGGGGGCCAAAAGTCCACTATAGTGAACATGCTTTTATTGTGCATTTATTTATTTTATTGTACTATTTATTTATGACAAATTATATTATTGGGATTGGGATTTTGTGCTTAATTGGAAGGTTTTGAATTTTGAAATTTGATTAGTGGTCTCAAATAGGGCAACTACTGGCATAAAGTTTTAGGATGTATGTACATAAACATGTACACAGATTTTTTTCAGGATCAGACTCAGAGTAGTTTCTTTTAAATCAGGGTGTCTCAAAACTCATGTATGCAACATAACACATTCCCCCTAAATAGAGATCTCGCAAATTCCTCGAGTTGGAAGAACAAAAGCTGGGATCAGGTAATTCAGAGCTCATAAATCATTGGTGCTGGACAGTCCAAACTCTGAGCTTGCTCTGTTTTCTCTCAATTCAGGACTGAAGAGGGATAGCCAGCCAGCCGCTAAGCTTTGTGCGTGTGCTTTGTCAGGCAGATAGACCTCCTGCTTTCTTTCTCTCTCTCTTTTTCCTCTGGCCATCTCATTTAACTGTTTTCTCTGTAGTTGGAGAGAGGTGTGGTGAGTTAGTGTCACATGACACTATGTGGGTGGAGTCAGAGAGAAGCCCAGAGACTCCAGCTGAGGCTCACACTGGAGGTTTGAGCCTGAGCAGGGACGAGCAGGAGGGTAGGTCAACACACTTCCACTCTTTCTTCCTCTCTTTTTCCTTTTCCTTCACTCAATCTCTCCCATTCTGGTTGTCTATTGCTGCCTGCTGACAATTTGCTTCTTTAAAAGCGTTAACAATGTAGGAAAGTTTAGTTCAGAGCCAGTTGGACTTTTGTGTGTGCATGTAGGTGAGTCTGTAAATACATGTCTGTCTGTAAGTATGATTTTTTCCCTGTTCACAGCAGAGAGACTGCCTGTTTTCCATGTTAGAGCTTCACGGATGTTTAAACTGGAAAGTTCTGAGCGGGGAAGATTTATTAGGTCTCTTAAAGCATCTGTAAGTTTGCATAGGGGGCGTGTTTGCCTGTTCCGCTCTCCCTTTTCATCCTTTACTCCCTGTCTGCACCTTCTCTCTTGGCCTTGTAATTAAAAGTGTGCAGGTTACAGGGTTGCATGAGTCCTGTGTAATTTCACCTCCTCAAAGTCTCCCTTTCAAACTTTTCCTATAGTTTTTCTGTTTAGGAATTTTTTTTTTTGCATTGTATTTTTACTATTGATTGTATTTTGCTATCACAGTAGTCATTCATTTATGCAGATTTAAATGTTAATTTTTTTTACAATTACAACATTACAAAAAAATATCAATGGAAAAAAAGTATGATAAAAATATACCTAATTTTCTTTAATAAAAAAAGGTGTATTTTGTATTTACATATTTTCTTGAGATTCACCCTTAAGTTTTGATCTGACCTTTGTTAAAAAAATCTATTGCTATTGAACTTACAACAGTGACTTTCTCAACGTGTCATTTATGTGTCTGCCCACATCCTGCAGGGGACCAGGAAGAAAGCCACACAACTTTCTTCCTCTCTATCCTGGTCATGTCCATGTCATTATCCGTTTGTTCATAATATATGAGAAAAAAAAACATGTTTTTCTCATCCGTTTCCTTCAGCCCATTTCAGTTGCCACCCACTATCACAGACTTGTCACCGTTCTTTGAGTTGTTAAAAACATGAGAAGAGCTATCTGTAGTAACAGCAAAGCCAACGTTTGTTCCTGTTGTCAACAGGTTTGACATCCAGCCATCCAGCATAGAAATGAAGTCACCGAAACTAAAAATAAATAGTTTAGGTCAAGTATCATTAGCACAGTCTGTATGTCTCAGGTGGTCTTTTATAGCATGTCAAAAGGCTATTAGATATGTTGAAAGCCAGAGATGTTCACTGCTAACAAAGTGAAACCACTTCTTCTGTCTTTCCTACACCACGTTTTGTTCCTAAGTTTTGATGAGTCATCTCAAACTCCTCGCTGGCCTTTCTCTATTTATACAGTCGACATACTCTCCCAAACCCAGGGTAGCAGGCCTCTGAGGGTTTCAGCCCGCTTCCACTGAAAACTCCACAGAACCTATAGAAGGATTCTTGTGGGATGATAATGTTTTCCATAATTGGGTTTGTTGGGAATATTAATGATGTGAATGTTTCTACTTTCCTGTATATGTCTACTAGCACTGAACTATTTGGTCTTTGGCAGTAATGGAGCATGGTTAGACCTAGACCTCTGATTCGTCCTTTCTGTGGTGGGGGTGAGCGGCGGCTTTATAGTGTCATAAACACCTGCCGGGCACATGAGGTTAACACTTATGCTTTCATATTTGAGGCACTGCTAGTGTCTGTCATCACGCATGTATAACCGGTATTGATTTGCAATGCAAAGTATTGCGGAGCATCTAGGTTTAACAGATGGTATGGAATTCATGCCTGTGACTTTCATAAACTGTAATTAATTGTCTTTTAAGACTGTTTGAATAATTATTCTTGTTCCTGTGAACAATTTAATCCTGTTTACCATCATATTATGAGTGTGAATTATTCAAAGAGCTTTCAGGACTAACTTTAAATATCACCTCAGGCTATTTATGTAAACATAAGTAAACATTACTTTTTCATAGCTTGCCTTTCCAGTCTGTTCATGTTACATGTTCCGTCTGTTCATGATCACATTTCAAGGATCAACAACTCAAATCAAGATGGTTTCTAAGCATATTTGGACAATAATATGACTCATTTAAGCGCTCAACTATGTGAGAGTGTTCATTTATCTCAATACAGATAGTGTACAGGAATCTCCATTGAGCCTGGTTCTGAAGAACTGATACTGAATGTAAAAGGCCTCTTTGATACTAAAATTTTTGTTCGCCTGAGAGATGAAGCATGCTGAGGAAAAGCACCCACAATCACTTGCTTTCTATCTCTCATCTGATCTCTCATGTGATTTTCACTGATTTTACGCATTGTAGAAGTGATGTCACCGTGCAGTATCAGCTTTGCCTTGATTCCCAGATGTTCTGGTTGTCGCTTTCACTTTGAGGTCAGATCCAAGAATCTTCCAAAGATCATTCCGGTCGTTCCAACGATACACTTTAAGCTCTCTGGACTACTGTTGGATCATTTGTTAAGAATGCCAGGGCCATATTTCCAAAGGCCTTATCACTCCAGCTATGCAGTGCAGGTGGCTCATATCTAGTTAGCCAGAAGAATGGGTTGCGAATGACTTCATTTCAACTAAAAGCTTATTGGCAGAACATTTCCTCTTTGCGCATTTAATGTTTTGGCAGTCAGGAATGTTTGTAGTACGTACCATAACAACATTAGGAGTTGGTGAGCTGGTTAGCCAAGTCACATTTTTATTTTCATTTCAGTTTTTTTCAAATGTAATACTCGATGAGCAGATTGTTTCGCAATGTTTCCTCTTCCATATTGTTTTTCACACCATCCTTATCACTCACTTACACTTCTGCTGTCCTTTGCCAGTTTGGGAGTACGATATCCCTAACTTCCAGAAGTTTTTCCATTGTGTGCATGACACCATCTGCATTTACAACCCCAAGCTTCGGAGGTCATCCTCTCTGGCCCAGCGACGCGCTGAACGAGCGGTCATCACACCCACACAAAAACTATGAGTCTAACACTCTGCGTTTGTGTAGAGTTAACATCAATTTCCTCTCTGCATTGATCCGCTCTCTGCAGGAGGCCAGAAGTTTGCTTATTCCCTCTCTCCTTTTGTCTTTCTCCCTCTCTCTTGTGCGTCGAGTTGTTGATCTTCCTGGTCTGACCTTGCTAGAGTCGTTCCGTAACTTTCTACATGGCTGGGTCTTGCCTCTGGGTGTCTTTTGTAGTTTGCCGGAGCTTAATCGTAATATTATAATTGTGCATGCTCTCGCATAATGCATGTCCTCAGGCTTATTCTATGCTTATGCCGCGTTCCAGGCAACCTGTAACCCGTGTTTTTTTCCAACCTTATACCCGTGAAAGTGCACTGGAACGGCAGTCAAACCCTTGACTTCCCACCCGTGAACTCGTACTAGATCGATGTACTCCCAGTTACGAGCTCTCACGTCACATAGCCCGCGAAACCATACAAAACAACAATGGCAGTGAACTGCAGGCGGTACACGGTGAGAATACACTTTAGGACAATATAACGTTGCAGTCAAATTAATAATAATATAATAATAATACACACACGATTATGTATTACAATGTTATGTGTCTGAAACAATAAGTATGTATATTGCGCTCAGGTAGTTTGGCGTGACTGGCCTGGAATGCTACAAAGTCGTGAGTCGTGGTTTGAAGTCGTGATTTACGTGCTCAAAAACCTGCCTGGAACGCAGCATTAGTATCTTTTTTTTTTCTGGAGTCATTTCTGAGAAAGAAAGGTTGTAGCAAAGTGATGGCTCCCCTGAGTACTGCCTATATTTGAAACGGTAATGGTACCTTTTGACTGGATTTATCTTGTCTAGAAGACATGATAAATTAATCACATTCCCATTTTTTCCTTGGAATCATATGTTGGGGAATGTGTAGAGAAGAGCAGATATATTGAAAGAGTTTGTAACCACTTTTCCAGAGCTCACAGGAAATGTCATATCAAGTGATGTTAAAAGATATATTTTTAATGTATGTGTTTGTTATATGTCTGATATCTCCTTTCCGGGAATGGAATGATAATGTTCAAGTGGCTGCTTGATTGTTACAGGTGCAGTTGAGAATATAATGGCTAGAGAGGCACCATTTGTACCATAATGGTTATCAACTTATATTAGATTGTTATTTGAATTGATCTGTATCATGGGTCAATATTGGATGTAAACTATACTGCTTAATAATTTAGCGTCGGATAGATTTTTTAAAAATATTTTTGAAAGAAGTCTCTTATTCTCACCAAGGTTGCATTTGATCAAAAATATAGAAATAACTGTTATATTGCTAAATAATATGACCAATTAAAATAACTTATTCCTGTGATCAAAGCTAAGCTGATTTTCAGCATCATTACTCCAGTCTTCAGTGTCACATGATCCTTCAGAAATCATTATGCTGATTTTCTGCTCAATAAGCATATCTTATTTTTATCAATGTTGAAGACAGTTGTGCTGCTTTTGTGGAATTTGACTATTTGATTAATAGAAAAAACAATATATTTATTTGAAATAGAATAATTTTGTAATGCATTTTACTGTCACTTTTGATTAATTTATTGTGTCCTTAAAGTGTTCATTTAAAAAAAAGTTTAATGACCCAAACCTTTGTCTTTTTATTATTTAAAATCAACAATAATAATTTATTATTTAGAAAAACTTAAATATATTACATTTATAATGTGATGCCTACATTCACTTATGACATTTGAAATGTTAAAATTTTTTTTTTTTTTTTGACTAGTAGTATACATATCAGCTATTTATGTTTCTGGACGTAACATGAAAATAATTATCAGCTCATCAGAATTTCAATATCGATGCACCCCTACTAAACAGTGTTAATCTTCTCCATACATCTATTTTGGCTAAATATAGTCTGTTTGTCTCGATAGTCAGAAGGCCGCTCAAGATGGCATTTTTGCAATGGCCCAAACAGGAAGTTGCTAATTTTTTCAATGTGGTCTGACCTGAGCCCTATGGACTCCCCTTAGACTGGGATGAGACTGTTTCTTCCTCCTTACACTCTTGC